AAATTCCGGACTTGAAATAAATAGTAAAGATGAAGGGTGAAATTGAGATCCGTCCACAATACATATAAATGTATATAATGAAGCTACAGTTTTGGTGAGGTAATGCCTTTTAAATTCCAAGTGATAGAACCAGTATACGAAAAAAGTGAAAGAATTGAAGTAATTTGTGTCTAATATTTTCACAAAAAAGCTTTGTCTTCAAACTCTAGAGGGTAAAAGGGATAAACGCATTGGAAGCGCCTTGTTTTCTATGAATTTTATTTTCCACTTGTTTAGTTGGATTCTGAATTTCAGGTGCTACATCTGACATCCGACAACATCGAAGCGTTGACGACAACATGGCAACCGTACGACTCTCGGCCATGGATCATCGACTTCTGCGATAGAAGCGATTCTTGCCTGTCTACTGTCAATAGGTATGGTGTCAATATATTTTGGGTTGAATAAAGGAGAAGTGTGGAGTTCGAATGAAGCAGATGTCAGAACTACTGAAAAAGAAAAAGGGCGCTATCGCAAGATACGGGGGCATCCTCTGGGGCTAGACCTATAAGGGAGCAAGAATTTTGGGGTAATGGAAATTGATCAGGCAGCTAGGAATCTCCTCTCCCGTTTGAAGCTTTGTCCCATTTTTGTGCCGAAGAGGACCTTACGCGGTTTCGAATGTATTTGCCACCACAATGCCCCCTATCCTGCTATAGCGCAAGGAAAACTATTGCGGAACATCCGCTCTTGCGAGCACGTTCTGCGGTAACCTCGTTGAATCAATCTCTTTCGAGAATAAGGGGGCTGGGTTGGCAATTGAAACGTATTCAATTTGACAGAAGATTGCAAAAATTAAGGAGGAAACTGGCGGCAATGTTGGATGGACTGGTGAATGTGGGAAGTGTGGACTGCACACCTAAAGGAGACAGTGCCTTGTGTGAACGTCTGGACGTCACCAGCGGCGTTCGATACTATCCAACTCAAAATGTGGACAAGGACCATGAAAAGGTAACAAACGAAACCAAATACATGGGATCATATTCTATAAAAGTTCCACACTCAAGCGTTTACAGGTGATGAGCTCATTGGATCCAAAAGAGCTCGTGGAAGAAGCGCTTTCATACGTGGATGATCTGGAAGAGATTCGAAGAAGAAGGATGTTCACGAACTCTTAGGTGATCTTAGTTCACATTTAGCTGAAATATAGTAATGATAAAATGTGAAAATCCAATTTAAGGCACACTTCTGATATCTTATCCTTAATCCTAGATAGCACTCCTTTGGGTTTTTTAATAGCAGGGCTAAGCATGGGATAATATGTAATTGAGGCAAAGCTCTCCATTCCCCCGATCCAGGCCCGTTTCTTGGATTATTGCAGGCCGAATTGTGTAAGAACTTCGGGAGTACTCCTACTCTACACTAGTACTTATCAGAAATACACTCTAAATTCCGATTAAAGGCAGAGATGGTGAACCGTTCATCCTTCCGGGTCGCGCAGCTGTTCTCAAATTCGGCCGAAAGATCCATGATGCGACTTCTTGCATTATTTTTGTCCAGAGAACCGCTAACTACAATGAGGCCAGAAAAGAGCTCTCCAGATACCTGATCCCTAATAAATAAGCAGTTTATGCGAGCACTGGCACATTTTGTGGGATATATGTATGAAGCTCACTTTTGTTTATTTGTCTACTACGTTTATGTTTATTTTTGTTCACTAGGAAATTTATTCAGATAGAATTCCAGAAGAAGAAGCCACAAGTTTGCCGACTGCTGTTTGGTTTGTTCCTAATAAGGAATCGCTGAAAGAACGAAAAGACTACAAGAGACTGCCCTTATTACTCCCTGATGTGAAGGTCAGTGCAGATAAGTTGTTTATAGCTCAAAAGGCCTAACTGTCAGATGTACTTTCTGTTGCTTATAAATCTGAAGAGTAGACGCATACGTGGCGTGCCAGAGTTCGTTAACTACTGCTGATTCATGTCTTTATTTGTTTCTGTAGATTTATTATCTTGGTATAATTTATGGACGATTTTGTTCCTAATTCATCTATGTTATTCACTGGTACGGTTTTAGATCGGTTACGCGGATTGTTCACAATTTTTGGAAGTTTGTCGAGATCTGCTGGACATACGAAAACTTCCACAGTTCGTCACTTTCAAAACAATGGGCGGCTATGAAATTGATTACGGTAATCGATTGATTGGATCATTTTGAGAATTTTATGAATTTTTTCATAGAGCCTTTTCAGTGAATAAACCATCATATCACGAAGTCAGCGCTTTCATCAAAGAGTCAATAGCCTCACCGTTGCACGTTCTCAGCGTCGAGGAAGTACGATACAGCAGTGAACAGTGGAGAGCTATGGATTATCGATTACTTTGCACCGGTGGGTGATTTACGCGCGCGTGTTCGGCAGCTTTTCAACACATCTTAGAGC